TGTGGATCTTGATGATTGGACTAAGATGTGGAAAGAAAGCTATAAGATGCTGAAACCAGCAAATCTTCGAGAAAATATCCTTAAAATGTTTTATAGATGGCATTACACACCTGTAAGACTAGCAAAAATATCAGAGGGCAGCAGCAATATATGCTGGAAGTGTAAAAAGAATGCAGGAACTTATTATCACATGTGGTGGACATGCGGAAAGGTCAGAAATTACTGGACACAGGTATGGATTGTAGCAAAAGAAATTACCCAGCAGAAATTAGATATAAAACCTGAAATGGCATTATTGAATGTCATATCAGGCATTAATGATAATAAATTGAAGCATTGTCTTATATATATACTCACAGCAGCTAGACTACTCTGGGCCCAAAAATGGAAAACTGAAGAGGTTCCAACGACAGAAGAGCTACTAAAGAAGCTATGGGCTGTAGCATAACTGGACACCCTATCAGAAGCACTACGGGAACAACCAAGAGACTATGTAAAACAAAGCTGGGAACTAATATATTCTTGGGCCCAGAAGAAGACAGGAGTGTAGGGCAAAGTTTATGATGTATGTATATCTACTTAGCACATACTGGAAATGAAATTGGGGGAGCAGATAGGTTTACGAAGCTGGAGTCTCGGACTCCAAAGGGCGGTGGGGTTAGTTTTAGGGGTTAATCCTTTTTCCTTTTCTTTTTTCTTTTTCTTTGTTTTCTTGTCTCTATTTGCTTTGTTTGCATTTCTGTGCGAATAATTAAAAAAAGAGAACATATTAACAGTATAAAACTTGAGTCATTAATTGTCTTAATATAACATTTCACAAATTCTTAAAACTGAGAACAAAAACTTAGCCACTGACTGTGTTATTAATTGGTTCTCTCCGGACAGCAGAAACTTCAGGTAGTTTGTGGGAGGTATATTAGTACATTTACACATTATCGGGTAGAGATAACAGATATGTTCAGACCTATATAAGCTACATTCTAGAATGGTGTGTGCCAAGGACTCAACTGTTTCTTCCCCACAGGGGCATATCCTTTTTCTGTAAGGAATGTTATTAAAGCGCCCTTTTAACGAGGCTGAGGGAAAGCAATTAAACCTAGCCCTTGAGAAGACAAAATGATACCTTGGTACTGTGATTTGATATAGATAATTTGCTAACTTGGGGAAGTTAAAATTTAAACCAAAGTACATTGGTGAGCAGGTCCTGTCTGCACATGCTAGTAAATACTGGAGATCTATGTCTTTAACGTGCTAGTAAATACTAGTAAATAGTAAATACTGGAGATCTATGTCTTTAACGTGTTGTACAAGCATTGACTTGGTACTGTCATAAGGCTGACTCAGAAAGAAGTCCATGGAGAAGCCTAAAAGATGTAATTTGTCAGTAAATCCCTTATGCAATATTAGTCAGAAACTGGTTGGGGTTTGTTGGACACCAGTTCCTTTATTACTAATATTGGCATGAGCTGGCAAAGGCATTTCTGTAAATAGTGTAAATACCCACTGGTTGTGGGAGCATATACCACCTTCAACCAGAATCGGAATGCATACAGCCAAGCTTGACATTCCACTGACTGAAGGCCAGCCTCCAAATGCAAGGCAGCTGAAGAGACGCATGGCGAATAGGAGTTGCAGCGAATTTGACAGAACACTTTTAACTGAGGGATTGAAACCATTTATCCAAATTGCAACACCATACAGGAGCTGCACAAGAATTTTATACTTAACTATCTGTAGAGCAGCAGGGATGAACTGCCCACCCTGGACATGGTGGTATCATCTAAGAACTTTGCTTGTATTATTAGCCACCTGCACTGCTACTTGTCTATGGTGAGACCAGGAGAAGTTAATTGTTGGTTTCTTGAAGTTAATTGTTAATAGGTTGTTCCTGCAGTGACTCATAAATGCACATAGAATTCGTTTAAGACCAACTTCTGATAGTGACATAACTGCGTCATCTGCGTATAGTAGTAGGGGCACGTTGATTTTAGCCAATTTCGGGGGGTGAAATTCAGGAGCTGAGCAGCTTTTAGGAAGGTCATTTAGGTACAGATTAAATAATGTAGGCGCCAGAATACAACCTTGGCAGACCCCTCTCTCTGCCTGAATAGGGTTTGATAAGATTCCCATCAACTCCACATCTTATCCTAATTGTGGTCTGTTGGTAGAGGCTTCTGATAAGATATAATAGCCTCTTATCAATCGAGGAAGAGTAGAGTTTTTCCCATAAATTTCCTCTGGGTATTGAGTCAAAGGCACACTTTAAATTTATGAAAGCTGAAAACAGGCCATTCCCATGACAGCCCATATACTTCTCTGCAAGGTGATTCAGTGCTATACAGTGGTCAAAGGTGGAGTGGCTCTTCCTTTAAACCAGCCTGTTCATTCCCTAAGATATCCTCCTCCTCAATCCATGTGATTAATTTATTATTATGATATCTAGCGTAAAGCTTGCCCACTATTGACAGAAGGCTAACTGGTCTATAATTTGAAGGTTTGTCTTTGTTCCCCTTCTTATAGATTGGTATCAGTATTGCCTCTAACCAGGAATTTGCCCAGTGTTATTAATGAATGTAAATAGATGAGATAAAAATAGACCATCTACATTGCTCTTTAAAGATTATCTTGGTATTAGATGGCTCCCAGTGTCTTCCCTGATTTTAGGCAAGTTATTAATGGCCTTATTTCATTTTCAGTTACTTGGTCCCAGTTTGGCAATTTGGTTTGGTCTAGGGATATGA